GCTTATAACTTTGCGCTATTAGTTTTTTCATTTGTGCAAGGTGGGGGGGCCAGCTCGACAGGGGTCTTTACTATTGCATTGGGCAATATTATTTTTAGATTAATTCTTACAAACTCTCTAGCTACAAATGCATACACTGATTTTTTACTTAATGTATATTAATAGAAACACCTTTTCTTTATTTCAACATTTTTTATATATATTTATTTATCTTTTTTATATCTTTAAGATATAAAATAATTTTGTTGAAGTTATATACAATCGTAAAAATATTGAAATTTTTCTCAGTTCATATTTAATAAATGTTTTAATTTAAAGTTCATGATAATTGCTTTATAAAAGAGCAGTTTTGATATTTTGATATAATTAATATTTTGAAATCAGATAAATATATATATAAGGATGAAGAGATACATTATACATTATTTTACAGGCGTCTCACAATATACTGTGATATTTTGTTTTTAATTTTAACTTGAAAAAGGCAAAAGAAATAATATATAAAATATGCTTTCTACTAGAAAAGATAGTCAAATCTGAGAAGGACAATTGATTCGATTTTTGTTCCATAGATGGCGCCACCATAGCAGGCGCTATCTTCCGTTTAGTTTTTATAGAACATTCAACCGCGCGAATACTTGCCGGTCGTTGCGTTGATATTTCTTGCGATTATTGTAGTAAATAGTGTGGTACAAGTGAAATTATATCTCGTACTAATTCTTTACATTGCACGAACATTAAAGAGTTAGGAAATTGTTTACGATCGGTGCGATATTCCGCGATTCACGGTTGTCTGTTACAACGGTTCATTTTCAAACAGATTTGCCTGAATCTTTGTAATGAATTTCTTGGAGTTTGGCGAGAAGGCTGGCCATCCATTTGTTATCGTGGCATTTTCTCTGGTGTTTTTTTTTTTGTAAGTGATAATACTTTTTTTGTAATGCTACATAATATTTAAGGAAATGAGCGAAATAATGGCGCAAATTTTGATCTGAAGGAATATATTTTCGGCGCTTAATTGATTCGATGTCTCGCTTACAGATGACGCTACTAGAGCAAACGCCATCTTCGTTTTAGTCTTCGAGAAACTTTCAATCGCGCGAATATCCGTCGACCGCCGTGCAGATTATTTCGTGATTAATATCGTAAATAGTGTTACGCGAGTGAAGTTGCGATTTTGTATTAATTCTCGGGATTGTGTGATTGCCGAAGAAGCTGCAAGCCGCTCACGATGATGGCGATAATTCGTAATTCGCAGTTACGTATTTTCGTCGCAGCAGGAACAGTCCATTTTCAGACTGATTTTCTCCAATTTTTTTACCCACTTTTTTGGAGTGCGGCTTTCTTGAAATTCGAAGACAAGGTTGATATTCTGTTCTCATGGCGTTTCTTTCTGCGTTTCTTTCTGCGTTTTTCAGGTAAGTGCTAAAATTTTCGTTTATAATTATATTTAGAACCCAAAACGATAGTATGATTATTGACCGCGGAAAGAGCATATATCTTAAATTTATTCGATCCGATATCACGATCAGGAAAAGCGTTATTGGAGCAAATCGCCATCTATCTTTTAGTCTCCGCAATATTTTTAAATACGCAAGAACTTGTCGATCAGGTCATTTTCGCGATTAACACAACAAATCATGTCACGCATACCACAAACGCATACGAAATCGCGGCTCATGTTTATTCTTGGTTTCGCCAAAAAATTTACAAATTGTTCACGATTCGTGATCGCGTTATTTTTCAGGTAAGTGCTAAAATTTTCGTTTATAATTATATTTAGAACCCAAAACGATCGTCGGTCGTAGTTACGGTCTGTTTTTAAACAAATCTTCATGAATTTTCTCTAAGATTTTATTGGAATGTGTTTGCCGCGAATCAGCGACGAGAGTGAGGTTATCACAGCAATTTTCCTTGGGTTTTTGAGGTAAATAATAACACGATTATTATTCTCTATGAAAAAAAAATGAAAATTTATCAAAGGCTGTAATAAAATATCAAAATATTTAGAATGCATAATTTACGCGGTGCTTGAAAGCTAAAATAGATTAAAAGCTAAAATAGATAAAATAGCTCAAATAAATAAAATAATCTATATAATAAAGCAAATATTGCTCTATCTGTGTGTTTCTGTTACAAATTTTGTAGCGCTTTTTTAATAATAGATTCATTTGGATGATATAGCACTTTTGTCTTCTTTGTGTAATTTATCTTTGAATAGAGAGAGAAAAAAAGTATTATACAAACGCAACGTCTACGAATATAATTGATTTATTACTCGTATTTGTATTCTATGCTATAATTCTACTCTAGGATTGACAAAAATTGGCTAACGCTTTGGACTACCCAGTATACAGAGATAGTTTGATTCTTCTCATCAAAATTTGTCAGTGATTGTTAATTATGATATATTTCGGCTATGTACAGTTTTGCTAAGTTGAAAAATCGCTTCTTTATCGTTTTTCGCAGATAAGTTGTATACAAGAACTCTGCCGCAAAGTTTTGATAAAAATAAAAGAGAAGAATTGATAGGTTCGATAGGAAGGGAAAGAGAAAATAGAACAAAGAAACAGAGTAAAAAAAGAAAATAATAAACAGAGAATTATTATAAAAATCGTGGCACGTTATTAAAAATCATAATTAGTGCTTGCTTAACGTTAATAATCGTATCTTTCTATGTACAATTTGTAAACGTCTCGCTAAAGCTAAAATAAACATCTACGTTATTCACTAAGTAAATATATATAAAAAAGTATATCCCCTCGTCGAAGACGAAGCAGGAAAACGCTCCCTCTTATTTCTACTTGATGAAAATGTAAGAGTCTAATAAACCGCGGACCTGTGAATCCAAAGATCTGTAGGAGTAGGAGCCCACATTATCCGTGAAATAAAAAATCGACGAAATAAGATATTTATGATATTTTTAATATAAATTTTGACTCTAGAAATGGAGACATTAATTTGCAAATCTACAAATTTGTTTCTGCAAGCACATGTGAAATTACGGTGAGGTAGATGTATAGATCTAAGTTTTTATGGATTTAAATTCATAGATATATCAATTTATTGGAAATACTATTATTAGGCATTTATAAATCTCATATTTCAAATAAAATCATGAACTTATGGATTGAAAAGTCATTGAATTGTGAATTTATAAAAATTAGTGTACATGATATTTTAGAAATTTATAGAATTTACGATTTACGGATCTTGGGTTCAATTCAAGGAATTTAAAAAATAAAAATTTACAGAACTATAAAATACGAATCTATAAATTCAAAAGTCAGTGAAAAATATGTTGCAAAATGGATATACAAATGTGGGTTTCAGTGTTCGCGCAGATCTATGGACTTCGAGTATCCGCAGGTTTATACATATATATTTCTACGTGTGTACATATAATCGATCCACACGTAGTTCGATTGTATTAATTGGGATGTACATACTATGCCGCGAGCCTGCTCATCGGCCGAAATACTGCACGGTGCTCCAAAACATTACAAGACATCGCCACTCGCTACAAAATCGTCCTCACGATTTCGAACATATTGATCTTCTTCAATCAATATATGTCTATGCGTATTGCCCTAGGGCTCCATTTTTGATATTTATTTTGGGTGACCATATATATATGTCCCAGTGAAGTATATACAAAATTAACAAGGCAGCGTTCATGAGATTATTAAAAGTAAGAATTTCCATATTTCTGATGCTCGTGAGATTATAACACAATCTGTCATAATACATTTTGTCACATTAAGTCACAGTCGAGTTAGTATCATATTAATTTGCATCACATTAATTTTGTTTGATAACAATTCAATATCTCGCGCACAAAGAATGATCTGGCATCGAATGTATCATTCTCGTTTCACGATACATACACGAGCTTATACACCTATACATGGTTCAGAAGTAAACTGCGCTAAGTATTAATGTTACGCTAAATGTAAACTATGAGTTTTTTGTGCTTCACTTTGCGACACAAGATCATCCATTTTCCGCTTTTATGCACGACCGTAACCACGCGAGTAATTTGACTCGCGCTGCTTCCTTTCGGATCTACGGAATTTCGCATGGAATCATGATACACACACGTGAGATCCATATTTCCGGGCGTCATGGCTGCGTACTTGTGCTGCTGTGACCCACGTGAGATTTTCGTGCGAACGAGCGCGAAATCACCGCCGCTCCGCGTCGACGGATAGTTGATACTAGGGGAACACTCGAGTTAGAGTTTGACTGAAATAAATTAATTACAGTAGAAATTTTATATTAATTTAGATTCGATAATTTTTTTAGATACAAATAATTCATTAAAAAAAAGAATGGTTAAGTCTAAGATCAATAAACTATTTGAATTTCGGATGTTAACTTTAAGAAACTTGAAATTAAATTGACAATGAGTACCTATTTAATTTGAAAACTATCATACTGTGCCGTAAAATCTAACTTTTACATTAAAATGGATCTGTAAAGAAATATTTGTATTCTAAATTATATATTCCTTTATTGCAATTCCTTAAAGGACTATAATACACACTGGAAAAGATTGCATATTTCGTATTTTGAAAAATGTATTTTCTACTATTAATTATATTACAAAATTACAAAATTAAATTAAGAACGAAACATTAAAACAAAGCAAAAAAATTAATTCTTTTTCTTTTTCAACAATCAAAATAAAATTTTTGTATATTATTCTTTTTATATAATTGTTATTGGCATGATACTGATGTAACTTGACATTTTTGCTTGATGAAATCATGAAAAGATATTCTAACTCGAGTGCGTCCCTAGTCACTACTCGACGTTACTAACACGGGGGCACAGGAACTCACTGTTAATGCATATTGATACGAAGTGGTGACTAGTAGATTCTCGTCGAGCACTCCGCCACGTCCGGTCTGTACGCTCTCGCAGACAGAAGGAATTGTCGGGGATAGAAAGAGAGATAATATCGCGAAAAATGTTAAAGAGGAGGCGTACCTCGAGTCGAGAGAAAATTTCAACTATTTTGCGCTTTATCATCGTAGCAGTTACGTTTGTCATAATACAATACGATTATTTCGATGGCGTTTCAATCGGTTGTATATTTGCTCGCGTTGCATTCGCAGTGAAACTTTTCTGTCGCATTAACAGTCCATTGCCGCTTCTCATTATAGACGGCAGACTTATAAGTATCGTATGCATTATGTTGCTCTACGAATAAATAAGCATTTATGAATACATATTCCGAATTAATCCGTCGCGGTACGTGTCACAAGCTGCTAAGAAGAGCGCTTCATTCTTTATTTTATTCGCGTTTCATTAACGAATGTTCAATTCAGAATTTTTATCTTATTGAGCAGAAAGTTTATTTTCGGTGGGAACCGCTGTGTTAAAATTAAAAAAAAAAAAAAAAATTTTTCTTCAATTATTTTGCGTTTTAGAGATGGATGATATCACAAGGCAAACGTGCATTGGTTAATTTGTTACAACTTCTCCTCTTTTTTTCATTCTTTGGATATCTCGAACAGGAAAAAAGTAAGAAGGTTTATAAGTATATAGAATCTCGCTAAATGCATACAGAATGTATACAAAGTTCGGTGCGAACGTTCTCGCTGCACCGTTCTCGGGATAGAATTTCTACGGACCGAACGTGGCGGCGGACAAAATACGCGATTAATGTAGACGACGAGCGAGATTGGTTATTGTAGCCGGACTCGTTGACTGGTCCCAAACGGTCCGACACCTCGTGGCCTTCCGCCAGTGCGGCAGCTGGATGCCGAGCCGTTTGCATTCGTGCGCATACGCCATGAAGGACTCGCAGTAGCAATGCTCGGTCGGGCACTCGCACATATCTTGAAGGCAGGCCTTGTGGTACATCGCCGGGTTCACCTTCTTGTGGCAGGGATCGAAGATCTGCGATCTCAGTCGACTGCACAATCTATAATCGCGAGAAGTAAATTATGTAACGTTGGAAATTAATTACAAGCCGTTTATTTCGAAAGAGATAAACAAAATTTTGAAAACGTTGATAACGATATCAAGGATGATAATTAAAAGTATAAAACAAAAAGAATTACTAACCGAACGATATGGATTAATTATAGATTGTCACCAGCTTGACGGCAACATCTGCTTCTCGCATTAGTCTTAACGTTAGGATCGTATTTATAATTGTAAATATTATAAGGATATTAGAGGAATTATTTTCTGATTTTTATTTGCACGAAATGTCATATGAAGTGAATATATGGATATATATAATGATAATCAATATGTATAGTGATAATGGATTTTTCAATTAGTGATAACTTGGGAAAATATTATTATATTCTTGAGGAGGTTAAATTGGATAGGGCTGAGCAATTTAATTTATACCGGTGATCCTTTCTTCCGCGACAACGTCTCTCCCTATCGATATTTCCAAGTCTCGGGGCTCGGGTGCACATCTTCTTGGCGCCCACTGTCCAGGATTGGCCGAACTGTTGCGGATCCTGCAACAGCCGGCCGCGTCGCGTAGTAAAGTCGTCCTTGGCTTGGGAATTGAAATTACCGCAGAGACCGCACAGTCGACCCCTGTACGATGCAGGCGCGGATACCTCGAGAAAGCTGATGCCGTCCCAGAGGACCTTGATCCCGATTTGCGTGTTGACGATCACACTCTCGGCCGTACGGTTGATATCCAGTAGGTTACCGAAGCGATAAGGAACGTTCACCCTCTTCCTGTTTACCTTCACTCTCATTTTCTGGCCAAGGTTCACTTTCATGTTGCCGATCTGCAACATGATCGCGCGGGACGCGAATAGAATGAGGGTTTCTGTCTATCGATAAATTTGATGACGCGACTCTTTCTAATATAATAGAGCGACAGAGGCTCTCAAGTCAAACAATTTGTCAATCAAAATTTCTAGTTTACATAAATTAAAAGTTACGAATTATCTTCTCGAGGAAGCAGTGAAGTGTGTGAAGTAAAAATTTGAATACAGTAATATTGGTGAAAATAACTTTCTTAGCTTTAAAAATTAGCTTGTTCTATCCGATTCAAAGAACAATGTAATCTCGTTTCGCACTACATTAGTATTAAAATTTTCGAGCAATTTGGTGCGCACCTTTATCGCGATAGTCTTGGTCCATGCTGAAGATTTCGTCTTTCTGGCGTCGTTAGTTACGCGTATGCTAAAAGTGTGACCGACGCAATCGGAAACCAGCTGGTACTTGCACGCCCCTTTGAAGCTGTAGAATTTACCGTCAAAGGTGCGGTAGTGCGGATCTCCGAAAACCGTGCAAACTCCGTCTTCTAGAAAAATGAATAAATTCTCGTTGTAAACATCGAAATCATATTGGGTTAGTGATAATGTAAAGTACACTCACTCTCGACGCATCGCGGACAGCATTGACCCTCCGGATGCTCCAACTTGGAGTTTGGTGGACAGGAAGATAACAACGGACACATAGGCATTGCGCAGCGCACTATGCCCTGCTTGCAGGTGCACGCCTTACAGGAATCAAGCTTCCAATCTTCGCCATCCTGCCTAGGACAAAAAAAGGACGTTTAAACCAGAACAAGACGAGACTGACAATGAGACGAGACTAAATCTGAAATGTGAACGATTTTGAACTAGCAGTATCTCACGAAAATTAACAGAAATCTAAATTAGTGGCAAAATCTAAATCTTATTCGAGCAGGTTTCTTTTATTTTCTATCAAGATCTCGATATTGCACAGCGGTTCACTCCTCGATAGTTGTTTAGTTCGATTTCTCGCCTCGCGCGCGCCGCAGTATATCCGTTATCGCGTTACCCGCACGCGGAGGATAAAATTGCACGACGACAAACAAAAGTGTGACACTCGCCTTGTAAGTTCTTCCGCCGTAAGAACAGGAGGCCTTGCTCTCCTCGACGAGCGGGCACTGCCGGCAGCAGCGTCCGTTGTGGGGGATGGTCTGAAGATCTCTGGGACATTCCAGCACCGGACAGGTCTCCTTAGAGCACGTAATCACTGAATTGTGGCAGGTGCATCGCGCGCAAGGCTCCGGCGAAAATTGACTGCCCGTGCTGTGCAACTCCGTGCCGAGCATACACGCGCCTCTCGGCGGCGGGAAAAATCTTCCGCTGCCTGCATGAAAAAAAAAGAGCGCTTTTAACCTTTTAACTTAAATATGCGCTGTCGCAAGTGATTGCGTATTAAGCAAGACACTCTGAATCATTTTCTTCTCACGTTGCAATTACGAATTGCGATCGCGCGAATAACTGTATCTATTCTTTTATCTCCAATCTCGTAGAATATACAAATGATACTTGATGGTGCGCAACATTTGTAGATTTTATGTTAATTTTATGTATTATTCATTAGCATTTAAAACAAAATACCTGTTTCTCCTCGCTATCACTTATTTGCAACTATCGCGGTGCATTTTACACTTTGAATTATATTTTCATTGTAGAATTTGAAAACCGCGGTGAAATATTCGCAGTTAAATGACAGCGCGTATTCTTGGATGGTTAGATGACAATCGTAATATTACGTGCGGCTGGTTTTTGCGCAATTGCGACATTGGAAAATAATCAGATTCGCATGAAACCGGTTCGCGCCTCTGGTATTGTGTGAAAGATCGGAATGACCTATAAATCCAAAGTGACTTTAATTGTTTGTGCAATTGCTTAGAAAATGTTGCTTTTGAAAAATGTTCTCGCGAAATGAGAGTCCGATCATTAATTCCTCGGCATTGAAGTGCTCGTGCAACAAAACAATCTCGTATCTTTATATAAAATTACGCCCACGTACAATTGTTGCGCTCCTACGTCGTAAAGAAATAATAAAGTTATCATCGAATCTAAATTGAAAATATGTACAAGCAATTATTAATTGAAAGAATAGATTTGAATATTAGAAGAGTAGATTTGCTTTCTTTTTTAAATGAGTCGCGTGTTAATTCAGATGTAATTTCCATGCAGTGGCGCGAGATTCATCTCGAATAATGAAAATTATGTAACCTCCTTTCACCTTGACAGCGCGGGCAACATTTCCCGTCATCTTGAACGATCATCGGGGAAGGACAATTGAGCACCGGACAGGCCTGCTTCGCGCAGATGAGATCTCCCTTGTTGCACCTGCAGGTTACGCAGGGGTCCTCCGTCGTTGTCACCGACCTATCCGCCGTGACCTTCTGTCCGTTCACTAGACATCCTGCAAAATGCAACGAGATCGAACGTTTGCGCTTACTATTTTTCTCTTTATATCCGGTTACGAAGCCGTTGTTTGGCTCGCATATATATTAATTTATTCGAAACGTGTATGTATCACACAATGCGGAAAGGTATGATGTACGAAAAGGTCACAGTTATAAGATTCGGAGAATGCGAGTTTTTACGACGACATCATGGTTAAGACATTAAGTTCACAAGGTTATGTTGCTCCAAAGAGGCGGGAAAAAAAAAATCAGAAAAGGAGAAAAAGACCATTACACACACGCATTATCGTCCATTCGTTTTTCGTCGGGTAGAGGCGGTGCTGTAATTTTCAATCATTATCGTTCTCCCCTCGTTATATCGAGGGAACACATTCCAGCCTTAATTGCGCGGCGGGATGCATTCAGGGGATCGTGAGAAATATTTGTGAGATTAGCGTGGATAATTAGCAGCAGCAGCAGCAATATTAAGGGAGGAAGGGAGAGGGTGAAGAAGAAAAATATTACGCACCGTCACATACGGGGCAGCATTGGCCAGGTGGGGCCGGTTTCGGCTTGGAGCAGGGCGTGTAACATCGTAGCTTTGACTCCGTGACGACGCCCGCCTTGCAGACGAATATCTGGCACGGGTTGTTCGACTCCCTCCATTCCGTGTCCGATGCGTGATAAACGCCGTTGTGTATGCACCCTGCGCTCCACAAAAGCGACCGAAGTCGTCTAAGTGCAATTATCTATGCTCGGAATCGCGCGATTCCGGGAAATTGGTCACGTAATTTATTTATTTGGGAATTAAATAGAGACGTTAGATATTCATTTTTAGGCGAACGATTATTCGCGTGGCTCGAACGTTACATTTTTGTACAGCTATTCGAATAGGAGCGGAGTGAGTTATCAGAATAATATGCTAATTGATATAGAAATATTTATCTGTTCCACTTTTCAGAAATAACCGTTGTGTCGGCGATATCATGTTATGTTCCTTGCATGTTGTCAGTCACTCGGATATTTTATCGCAGTCTGATCGTGTTTAGAAACTTCTTCTCCAGATATTTCCCAGACGGATTTTGTCGTCGGTAGGCGAGTTGACTTACGTCATCATTAACATAATTAATAGGGAACGATAACGCGGGCCTCGCACGAGCATCTGTCAGCTACGTGTCGTAAACAGAGACAGCCGCGTGAGACTGTGACGCTAAAGTTCCCCGGGTTTATCACCGTGTCGGCGAACAGAAGTGCCTTTGTACCCCGGGAACAATGCTCCGTCAGCATTCCGCGAGTTCTCGCCTTTCCTTCGTACCGCCACCGACACACTCTTTCTTTATCGTTCCTCCCCGCATTTCTCCCATCCCGGTCGCGGCGCAAACTCGTTCGAGCCAATTAGGACGATTAGGATAATTAGCCGAATTAGCGGACGGACGAGCGTTCGTACCTGTGCACCTGCGGCAGCATTCGTTGTCGTGTGGGTCCACTAGCGCGTAGCAGCCTTCGATGTTCGGACACTGGTGTTTCAAGCACTCCACGAATCCGTTCTGAAAAGGAACGAGACGAGATTTACTTCTCTCACGTGCGATAACGGAGACACACGGACTCATTTAGAAGTTACAAACTTTCTCTCGGTTAGTTTTCCTATATCTGCGCCCTAGAGAAAGCGTCAACTGCTCAGACACCCTCGTAGAGGAAGAGGGAAAAGTTTCAACGTATTTATAATGTTATATAAGGAAAAGGAATATGTCGCTGCGCGAATGCGATTTATCATTCTCGGAGTATAATCTGCTTTATGCGCGGAATAATGGATTCAAAGATGATGACTTGCTGAAGTCACCGATTGCTCGCGCGGTTTCGTCGAAGAGACGGTTTCGTCACGTTTTGGCACGAGGAAAATCGCGTGGCGCGTGAGCTCCCGAGAAAAGAATGTAGGCATTCTAAATAAAACGTATTATAAATCGGGAATTTCTTCGGCGATTGAGTCACACCGCTACGCGACGGCGGTAGCGACGAAATTCCGGTTTTTTTATCGTCCTTGTCTTGTTCCGATTCCACGTTCACGTCCGCGTTATCGCCTTCCAGTAATTATTTCTCCGGTTTCGTTATCGGGTTCTATAATTGAATGTCTTCACGGATTTATCTTCTATCAGAATTACGTAAAGTAATTTAATATCGAACGTATGACACGCGCGAGATGGGCCCTAATTAAGCCACGAAAGGAAGCTCTCTGTTTTTCAGACTCCCTCGCCTAAAACGAACGTTTCTACGCAACGCGATCGAAAATTAATTATTTCCGCGAACAAAAATGGACAATGCATCGAGAAACGGTCAAAGATGTAGGAAAGTTAACTAGAGAAGTTTAATTGACAAGCATTTGACAGTTAAAAGTTTTTCCTTTTCTACTTTCTATTTTTTTAATATTATTAATTATTGCGCGAGTTTTATTCTTATTACAATAGGAACGTAAATAAATATCTGCATAAACAAGCTCTCATGACCAGCAAACGTGCGTCCGTCCGGATCACTTATAGTCGCTTCTCATAAATCGTGAATGATTGATTGCGGCCGATTGCTTGGGCGCAACAAACAAACAATTATGTCACACGCCGCCGCCGGCACGCCGCTTGTTGCAACAGCAACAGCAGCGGTAGCAACGGTGGCGGCGGCGGGACGAAAACAAGAAGCCTCATCTCGGTCGGCCACGAGTCGACGAGTCAATGAACCAAACGCGCAGATAAATCGCCGCGGTCGCGCTAAGATCACTCGCGATGCAGTCGCGGTACGTCGAGAGAGAGATGCATCGAGGCTACGGCGGCGCGTCATAAGATGCACACGCGAGCGAGCGTGTACGAGCCGACGACCGACGAGCGACGCGTATGCGTGCGTATATACGTGCATTCGTCGTGCGTACGCCAATATACGCGCGACGCGCGCGAATCGATCACGTCGAACGGATCGAAGTGGAAATTCCTCTCTTTGACCTTTCGAACCAGGCCAGGCTACTTTAACCCCTTTAACCATTCCATCACCACATGGCGCTGCTTCGTCGGGCGATAACACATATAATCTGCGAATTGGACTATGAAAACGGTCACGCCGCTTTGATTCTCCCTCGGCCTCCCTCGCGGTTTTTTCCTCTTAAGAGAAACCATATCGGTTTCAATGATGCGAACCTTTCCGCGATTCTCGCTAGCTTGTCAACATGTTCGATATATTCTCGCCGTGTTTCTACGTCGCATTCGCATTTCTACTTCACATTGATTTCACCGCGTGTCCCAACATCGCGTTTATTTACGAATTCTCTTTGCTAAATTTTCAATCGATTTCTTGTAGATGATTATACTCCAAATTTTCACTTCTCAATCGTATATCTTGATTTATTACAGAGATCTATTTCTATATCTTCTATAAATTTTAAGTTTACAGATCTTTATTATAATTAAGTCGTGAGCTAAAATTTTTGAACAAAAAATAAGACCTCTTTATTTGTTCATTGAATTTGCACCTTAAATCATTTTGCGATCAATACACCCAAAGTATGCGAGTGAGATTTACAAGTGAAATATCATCAGTCTACATAATACGTAATTATTATATTTTTTTCACATTACGCGGTGATCCTTCTTTTTAAAAGTGAATACTCTAAATTGAAAAGTATCTATGTGCCAAATCTGAAAAACGCGAGAAACGTGACAATATTTATTTTTGAATCAAGAGTAAACAGACATGTTTTTTCAGACACACAAGCTAAATTATTAATTGTAATTTTCCAGAAGCATTTCCAGTTTACGACCATTAGATAGTCCAAATTTTTGTTGGTTTTTGGCACTATAGACCTTTTCAATTTATGATATTTAATTGTGATTTTGTTCGTGCGCGCTGTTTCGCGTTTTCGACTGCACGCGGTTTACCTTACAAATGCAGCGGAAGCAGCTCGTATTCAGGATCTTATCGACGATGATTTCTTCCCCCTCGGTCTCGCAGGTCTCCCGGTTTCCTGCAATCGAAGAGTAACCTGCAATCATAGTGAAAAGAACGAACGACTGGAGCGTTGCGCGCTCTCGTTCACGCGCGATATCGGCTTTATGATATCGCGCCGCAATATACCGGTAAGCGCGATAGAGACGCTACAATCACAATGCAGCATTCCAATCGACCGACCTTCGTTTACTAGAAGCTTCCTCGTTCTATCATACGTCGTACGTGAACCGAGAGCTCAAGGATTTTACTGTTACGTTTTGGATAATGATTATGCTCGATGGGCGGGTATCGGCTCTAATAATCGACTCTAATAATTAATAAGCACGTCGGTTTTAATAACGGTTTTAATCGGGTCTAATTAGGCTCATCGGCTAAATGAATGTGATGGATTGAAACGGCTTGTAAATTATGAGCGGGCAAAATGCCGCTTTCTCCGTAATTAAATCGCGATGAGAAATAACATTTTTACGAATTAAACGAATTGCAGATTGTACAGATCTTACAGCCCATAGCTTTACTTGGTGCTCCGAATAATCCTTTTTCGGAGTAATCTTCCGTTATTGCAAAATTTATCTAAATTTTTCACACAAACCAATTTTTCATTTCTAGCTTTACTATCTTTTGCTTCCGTATTATTGCCTTATAAGAAGTAAGCGCGACATGAACATCATGAACGTACCTTAGGACCCCAGTCGTTAAACTGTCCATTTCCCAGCGAAAATCATGTCGCGTTCCGCTGCTAGGTCGACGAAGTCGTCATCACCAACGTCCCTCCCGGTTCCCTCGCGCACGTATTCCTGCACACTTTAAGTAACTTTTCTGTAAAACTCCAGCCTTTCTCGTGTTTCTTTCTCTATTTACACTCTCGATTTGTAACCACCGAATAACGCTCGTTCTCCATTTTCGAATCTTCATTTGAATGTCTACGAGAGAGAGAGCGTATAATTGTCTTAATTATTCATTCAAAAGAAATATCACATTCTAGAGCAGAATAAAATATCGTCTTTCTCATTTTTTTTTTGCTTCTGCTTTTCATTCGTCTTCCCAGTAGAGACGATAGGTTTCCTTCGAGAAAGCGCTTTGCCTACTTTGTCACTGCTCTCAGAGATTTAACGTGTCGTGCAGCTTTCGAGGCGGCTTTGCTTCATCTACTTCTTCTAACTAATTTGTATTTTCTCGCGAACATCTCGCGAGAATCGCGAAAGAAGATGAATCGCTCACTTTGTCAATGACTTTCGAGCGAACTACTGCCACTTTTTTTCGCAAATGCGTAAAGACTTATATTTTTATTCTCAATATTAAATATAGTTGTTTAATTTTGAAATTTGTATGATCCTGAAAACGAATCTGGAAATAGTTTCGTATATTTTAAGAATCTTTAGAAAAATAATGTACAATACGTTTGCAATACTAAATTGTCACAACAAAATTTATTATCTGTTGCAAGACAAACAAAAATATTTCTGCAATATATATAAAAAAAAGTAAGATTTTGAATTAGGAGCCATTAAGAGAAAGAATTGTTAATTTTTTATTTTACATCGAAAAATCGCTTTTGTAATGAAGTGATAAAAAATTATTACGCGAAAAATCGGGTAGAAACCAATAAAAATTGTTTCAATATAGTGTAAACTCTTTCGTAATTCTGTTGAGAACTTTCAGAGATGTATCAAACGTCAATTATCATAGTGAAAGTTAGCATTGTAGCCGCTGGATAAGCAGTGACATCACGAGAACTCGCAGGAATTACGCCGCGAAAGCAAGTGGCAGTAGTCAATCGGAGACCACTCGTTCATTTGCGAGATAGTAAAACTAACATTATTAATATGAATTAATTTTCAATTCTCATTCTTATGTTGCTTTAGCTAACTACTCGAAAAGCGTGACACATTCGAAGTGCGCAGGAATGCGTGTGCGAGAAAGGACGTTGGCGTTCGCGACTCTGTTTTCCCTCAAAGTACTCTCTTTCTTTCGTTTGCATTTCTTTCTTTCATCCTCCCCGTCCATTTCGCCCGCGAAAAAACGCGTGTAACAAATTACAAAATATTTGTGCTCGCCATGGAAATTGGAAATAATTTCGCACTGCAGCCTTTCTCTTTCTTTTTATTATCTCTTCCTTTACCGTTCCCCGTATATTTCTTTTTTTCTCTCTTTTCCATCTCTTCCGTGTGCTTTCCTCTTTCTCTCTTGCGCTCCTCGAGCTGGTTTGCACAATTAAAAACTCGGAGAGCAGTCTGAAGAGAGCGCGCAATAAATGGCACAAAATTTACGCCGTTCCTTTGTCGCATGTCAATTTTACGCGCGCAATAAATACACGTAGATGGGAAAATGTATATTAGAGAAAACTGACACTTCTCTTAGCGATCATAAGATGCGTCATGTCTAAGATTTCTTTTTAAGTTATGGTGTTCTATTAAGAATTTTATTATCACATATACGTATACTAAATAAAATAAATGAATAGAATTAATAATAACGTAAATCAAATAGAAAATCATTTATATAAGTGCAATAACTCCTAAGTACAAACATTATTAGCACACATATGGCATGATGATCAAAGCGTCAAATCAAAATTAAAGTTAAAGCTTTTAGCAAAATTTAGCAAAAATTCTTATAAATATCCAAATGATTTTTTCTCTACGAACACTTAACAATCATGACTTGCTGAGAATATTATTAAATGGAAATTAAATATGTATTTTTAAATTTCATTTACAGTTAATCTAACTTTTATTTATTTAATAGTAATTATAACATTTTGAAATGCGAAATAATTATGTGGAAATTTTCACCAAGAAGAAATCATCTTTAAAATCGTCTATTGTTCGAATTGTTTCGAACTATAAAGCAGTTTAGTTTGTGCTAATAATATCATGCTTTTTGACGATTAGCTCTCACTGCCAACTGCGACAACAGGAAATTTGAGCAGTTAATGAACACAATGCGTCAACTTGTTCTTTGGCATATAAACAAAAAAAGCTCCTATTAAGTCTAAACTTGGCAGCATTGTGGAAATAAATTCTAAATTATCTTATAATAAGAAACACAACAAAAATATGATACAACAATTAACACAATAAATTCAGTTTCCTCACTTCTTTTTTCATTTAATTTTGCTGTGATACACTGTTCGTATATATAAAATAAATGAATAGAATTGATAATAACTGTTCTTATTATATAAAAGATTAAATAATAGATTGAAAAAAAAAGAAACAAAAATATAATTATACACATTTTTGTATATAAATATATTAAACGTTTCTCAACTGTGAGTGTAGATAGCAAAACACAGTGATACATCTTACAAGATACGTTGCCAAGTTTAGGATTAATTATTGGATAAAGCCGCCGCAAACTTAATCGATCTCGGACGGCGCTAAATGTGGCGCTAAAGCGAGCGCTCACAGCGTGAGGCGTCGGCACGGTGCGGCGCGGCGTGTCGGAAGCGTGTGAGGAGTCGTACTTCGCTCTCGCGATTTCTGCGAAACAGCACGAGTTGCTGATTAGCCTCGAATACGACAGCGAGGAATGCAATTTTCTGAAAGGCATGTGCAATTCGCCGTCGCGTTGCTCGCCCTCGATTACGCTATGGCGGAGGGAAGAAAATCCGGCTCTCCTCGTCGACGAGCGGACAATTTCTGAGATGTAGTTAGCGTAGAACGCTGTGGCGTGTAATTCTGAAAAAAAGACGCGGAAGAAGGGACGAGGAGGGGTAAGATTTATGCACTCGTTCCACTCGGCGTAAGTGGTCGTTTGGTCGAATTGACCGCTGTTGTTCCGCGGATACGGTTACGCCCGATGTAATTTCCGACGAAAATTACGCGCGCGAGCGCGGCCTCTCGTCCACGTGCATCCAGAATCAGGTTACTGGTGCTTAAATTGCACTTTACTAGACTAATCCCGTAAAATCGACTTTTTCATTGACCGATATTTTTAGTTAATATGTGCTTAGCAACCGTAAATCGCGAGAGTAAATTAGCTGCTGATAGAAAACATCGAAACGTGATAGAAAACGTGAAGTTATGTCAGACTGAGATATTAGGATAAGTTGCATGAATTTATTCATTTGCGAACATTATTATTATAGGGGAGAGAAAGTAAAATATTCGAAATGAATACATTTACATCGTTATACGAATTATGCAAGAAAATGTTACGTGATTTTGACCTGTGTTTGTGAAACTTGATGTCCTTAATTCTCGATTGTATCTTCGTTTAATTGCACATTTGTATTCATATGCAGCATGCAAACCATTTTTCATCAAGAATATATAAATTTTGAATGAGTGGAAGCGGAAGTATTAACCTGTAGTTCATTTTGCTCAGTACATGGATGTCATGCTCGAATCTTGCTTTCGAGCTTACTTTTTAATTCTTTTATGTATCAATTAAAAACTAAATTATGCTTATATTTATAAATATTAAAATTTACATTCGAGGTTTTATAAAATTTTGACCAACAACTTTTTGCATAAATTGATTCATTTACAAGAAATATTTGATAACTGTAAAATTTGCGCACATTTTTTACGTTCAACATAGACTTTAATAACATATCTGATACTTTTATAAGTTCTTTGAAATTGCAACGTTTTAGAAAATGAAAATATTTCTTTTTCTCCGAGTTTTCCATATATCCTTCAGACAAAATAGTTTCCGCGAAGCAAAGACTAAAGCGAAGAAATCTACAAGATCCAAAGAAAATTGTTGTAAAAATAGCATGCAGAACGTGCCTTGGAAAAAAGTCGCACGCGAAATCTCTTAACGATCTGCCGGTATCGCTTAAACTCGCGGACGAACAAAGCGAGAGCGTGAGGCGAGACAGCGACCTGCTCCATTCGCAATGACTCGCGCGAATCGTGAGATTCGACTCGACTCTGGCGCAAATAGAACGGCAGATAATGCAGATAGACTAAGAATAGAGCGTTTAAAAGGCGTAAATGGAGCGTGACGAATTCGCGCGCGCGGACGCGGGCGCACCACGAGATAGTAAAACAGCTGGAATCGGGAATTCGATCTCTTCGGCGGCTATAATCGCGTGCCGCCGCTCTTGTTGGGTTCGCGCGTCCGTTCGCATGACAGCGTTTTCATTCGCGTATCACGGAAGTATCTTTCGAGAGAATTGTTACGATATCCGAATGAAAGAAAGCGATTTCACACTCTTAACCCCTAAACACGCGACGTTTCCATTCTTTCATTAATCTGTATAAAAACTTATCGATCACTTATCAAGGATTATAATAATATACTTAATGTTATTTATTTCTTTGCAAATTTAAAATAATATTAATGCTGATAGAAATAAAAAAAGCTATTTAGTTATGCCACAGATATCGCGGGTTAAAGGTTAATCGTTATGAATTAAAATTACGTCTAGTTTGCAGAATTTAGATAAAACAATGTGTGACATACATAGTTTTTTTCTGCACATTAAAAATGAGTTGGATACGAAATAGTGATATTCTTGTCGTTCTTATTTCTTATTAGTAATTACGATAAAATTTGATCTAATGTACAATTTCTGATTGAACGAAAATGAATGGAGGGAGAAAAGGATTTTATTAGAATCCACTCGCAGTAATATTATTTTCTCGGGTGCGACGATGTTTCTGATCGATACTAATCCGGATGTAGCCGGATAACATCGATCGAGTTTCGATGTTGGCACCCTCCTAAGTTCGATTGTTAGTCAGCTATCAAAATAACACGCTCGCAATCGTTGCGACGTGCGTCGCGCGTACTCTCTGTGCTCGTAGTACTTACCTATTAAACTTTCCGTGGCGGCGTCGCAATGGCGTGCCGTCGAAAGGAAGGCCAAGGCCAAAGCCAAAGCCAAAGGCTGCAGTGTCGAAGGTAATCGTGTCAACTTCATGTTTAGGGTCTCGAATTCTGCCGCGACGCTTCACTGAAAAAACAATAAAGATGATCGTTATTACGCGTTTTCGAACATATTTCTTGATATTTCGCGATATTCTTTTACGCTTGGGAGATATCAGTCGAGAATTTTCCACTCTAATGACAATTATTAATATTGCACTTAATTTTGAATAATAATACTGATATCAGAATATCACAATAAATTTGCGTAAAACATAAATAATCTTGTTACGCAAAATGCAAGCAGTTTATATTTTATTTTGATTTATATGAACTTGAGATAATTCCAAAGGACGTGTTAATATTAAAAATTCAGCATTTTATGTAACATTAAGATGTAAAATGCATGTTGTCTCTTTATCCGTTTAAAATTATGATAAATTTAAGAGCATCGTTAAGTGCATTTGTCACATCATTAGCATTGATACAGTCTGATGAGTTTCCGCGATTTCCACACGGGTAGACGCATAAATTTCCGCGGCATCATAATGCAACGCAGATTACATATACACATACATACACGTGTATTTAATCTTTTTCCGACGCACTCATGTTTTTATTGAAAACTACAATTCATGAATCGCTCTGTAAACGTCGAATTTACACTGCGGCGCTTTTAAATTCGCGATGAAAAATCGAGGAAAATTCCTCGGGAAAAACAAGTCGCGACGATTGAAAGAGAAATACTATAACGGAATATATTGCGAGTGTTACTGCCGCTTGTCGAGAACGCCGGCGCCCGATGCATTATTCAACACATTAAGTGTATAATCTCCGAATGCATCGGAAGAGCCTAACGAGCTTCGTTGCGCGCTTGATTAATGAGAATTCTAGTAGTTGCGAGCGTTTCGCGTTAGCGTTAGCGATTCCCGCCGTCGCCGATCGTCGGAGACGTCTGTACTTAATCGATTACGAAGTCGATGTCTATGCGACTGTACCTTTGTATGCAATGCGAGCGTCGTTACACCCACGACGAAATGTCTCTATGCCGATAAGGTGACTCGCCAATCTATTAATACGTGTTTATACACGTATCGCGCTGACGAGGAGGTGTGCGCGCAACAGGCGCGATAGGCGCGATCGTAAAAAAAATTACGATCAACCGACAGGATCAAGAATCGAGAAATTTACGACCTGATTCTTTCGATCACGGCTCTCCGACGAACGCCGGGAATATTCCTGCAACGCGTTACACTGCGCGAGCGAATAGATTGCGTCAAGTGCGAAGATAAGTATATTAATCACGCTCAGTTTTAGTTACTCGAGTCGTTTATTTCGAAAGTCGTTTAGGTCGGCTGAGATATTTGAATCGCTATGCAATACTGTGCTGTGTTTTCATCGCACTTTTATGATATGGTAATAAATGGCGAGTTAGCGTGGAAAATACAAATATATTAATTATTGCTTTTGCATTAGCAAAACTTCCAAGAACAACATCGCAGTTATTGTCGTATACGATTAATAAAAATACGCAGCACTGTCCGTTAAAAATGTAATATGATAATAATAATGGTTTTTTATTGCGGGAATAAGAAGAGAATTACGAAGATGATTGACAGATACAGAACGCACGCGAAACGCAAGGCGATAATAATATACGAAACCCTGGTTTTCAATTGTTTGCCCGACGTACGAGGCATCACGACAATTGATCTTGTACACAACAATGTTGACGAACGCAGCAATGGACCTTTGTGCACTTTGATGAGTTTCAATTTATTTAACTCTGTGTAAGCTAGTCTAAAATGAGAATCTTTGACCATGGTCTCTTTTCTCAGACAGATTTGATGTACAGAACTGTGAAATGCAAATGCGCGTTCTCATTTGTAAGACTACGGTTATTTGTAATGTTCGCTTTGGACGAATCTTTGGATGATCTCAGTAAATATCAAAAATCAAATTGCGACGGGTTACTATTCTTGGGCGAAGTGACCGAGCTCGTTGAAATATTATCGATAAATTTTCACGTTCGCGCCGGTATAATTCGACGGAAGTTCTGCTCTGGTGTGCATAATGACGCGCATAATGACGCGCCGACTCGAGATCGTTTGCAATCACGCGGATTGTTTGCACGAGCGAGGCGTGAACAAACAACGCTCGCGCGACGCTTGTTTGAGAAAGACGCGCGAGGGGAAAGAGTGCTCACCTATACTACGTAGTAGGCGGTGTAAACGCAGACTCGGCAGTCTAATCCAAATCGCAGATGCCGGCAATGTAATTAGACTGTTAACATCCCGCGTGATTATACACGCAAGCTTTGTAGTGAAGTATGAGCAAGAACTGGGACTGTAAATATTCGACTAGCGGTATCATTTGAATAAATCCGAGGTGAATATCGAAACTGAAGTGCTGAAATATCATGTCTTGTATCAGTTCGTTTATTCGAATGTATTTTAAAAATTGAGAGTGGATCAGTCATAAATATCAAATAGAGTAAGCAGCGAAACAAACGTCGCTAGCAACATATTCTCAATTGAATAAAAATGATTATCTCGGATTGAATGTCTCTTTCTTTGATATTTCGGTAGATATAATATATTCTGGTTATTATTTGGTTGGAAATGAAAAGATAAATTTACGTGACTCACACCGAGAGAATACACAAGTATAGAAAGACATATAAGAAAGACTTATGAAAGACACAGGCCTCCCAGGAAGATAATACGAGGAGCTCAGGTTACGCGGACACACAGGTAGCAGCACGGAAAGTCGTTGGAGAATTGCGCTTACGGAAATTACTGCCGCAATAGATACTAATTTGATAATCAGGAACTATTCTCAATTCCGCGAAAGCGCGTTTAAGGTGTATAAATTTACCGTTCACATGATAAATTAAAGCTGATGCTGAAAGCAAGATTTACGCGTAGCGAGAAAATAACCTGTTGCCAAGCAAAAGATTTAGTTTCGAATCCAATTAGTAGTTGTATATATGTAATACTTTCAAATAACATATATATATATCGTTCATATGTAATATTAATAAAAACAAAAGTAAACACAAAGTTAGTTACAAGAGAATTATATCGCTACATGATATAAAAATAACCTGTATGTTTTTCTTTATTTTCAGTGCCGTTTTCACACACTCGCTATCGGAGGAGGATAATCATAGGATAATACAATAATGGTGCAATCGGTGAGTACTATAGCATACTGTTGTGATCTGCAGTGTTTCGCGCGATTATTCTCGCCTGTGTACGGCAAGCAGACGGGCAGACAGTCGTAAAACATCGGCGTGGAAAATTTTCCTGGTGCACACCGGCGCATGAAAGTATATCAAATTCACGAGTGGCGCGAGTCTTAAGTGGAACAGCTCTATTATGGGGCGTGATTAATAAATATTCGCACGTCGCGCGCAGGTAGAGGCCGGGTTCGCATGATCCGCTTGCCAGCTGTGCGTGCACCAATGCGTCGACAATCGCGCCGTCGCTTGTCATTGATGTATCTAGGCGGTGACAATATTGAGCAACATTTATCAGAGACAAAAATGCGTATACTATTTTAAGCGTTTATTCAGGAAGGAAACTTGCTCGGCACGGTAGCGCTTGCCGTACACACAGCCGTTGCTTGTACTCGCGTACGCACGAATGTAATTACGCACATTTAAATAGAAATTATGACTCATCGCCGCGCACGCCCCGGATATCTTTTAACCGTCGTAGGTCACTTTTACTCTCTTAAAAATATTTTATCGATCTTCCATTTCTCTGCATTCCTCACGCATGAAACAAACGTGGTGACACATTTTATATATTTTAATCGCCATTTGATAGAAAAATTTTCTTCTAAATATTGTTGATGGAATAACAAAATGTTAGTGATAGTTTCATACATATTTATTTTCGCAATTAATTTTTGAATATTATTTCGGAGTAAAATAATATTTTAGATGTTTTCTCGATAAATTTTCCTATTTTTCAAATTAAATGTACACTGTCAATAGTTTATCAATAGTTTCTTCTTGCATTTTATATATTTTTTTAATTTCTTCTATACTAAGTATCATGTATTTTCATCGGAACTCTCTCATGTTGTTTCGTTTCTTTTTTGGAGAAGATAAAATTTAAATTCGTATTCGCAAAATTTTATACCGGGAAAGCGCCGACATCTGTGGACATAATTTCCGCTGTCGTCCTCTTCGCGCGTACTATTTAACTATTAATAGTCATTACCACTTTCACTGCTGTTATTACTGCTCCTCCTCTCCGTCACCATCGCCTCTCGGCGATCGTTCTTGTTTTGCTCCGGACTTTAATTAGGATTCCGTCATGACCCGAGCTCCAGCCTCCAGCTGCTTCGAATACGTTTTTTCTGAGCGCATCGCTAATTCGCCGACTAAGCGTTCCGATCGAATCTCGCCAGCGGCGAATAAACTCGTAACAAGCGGCGCTCCAAAGGGAGGTTCTAGGCTCGTTGCACCGCTAGTACGCTAAATTAGATCGTAAGCACCGCAGGAATCCGAAGAGGCGTCCGTTAGGCTAATAGTATCGGCAATGTTAAGTTGATATTGTAGTAAAAGTATCCACTTTCTTTTCAGTGAATTAATATCGATAATGTTGATATTTTTACATTTTACATAATAAAGTGTATTTTTTGGTACACGAATAGTCTCAAAAAAATGCGGCATTTCTTGCTTTTCATATTAATTAATTATAATTATAATTATCAAACGTATTAATGATGTTTATAAATAACACTTTTAATGATGCTTATAAATGGCATTAGATATCGTGATGACGCTATTATGAAACAAATCAAAATGTCGATATTTTTCTTTAAAACGTTTATCTCTAGCGTACGCGGCCGGCGCTGTCGATACACGTTGGCAACTAAATTATCTATTCGTCAGGTATGCGTCTGTTATTAGTTGGCCAGGCTTGCGCGTGAGTAGACAAAATGTCAAGATTTGATTTACGAGTTGGCCCGGTGCGCCAGCTCCGGAGAAATTAAGCGGAGCAGCTTGATTAGCCCGGTTCATCCGTCCAAAGCTCGGTTGGATTTTACGTCCGCCGAAAAACATTCATTCGAAATGCCTGTGTAATCGGCCGTTATGGGGTAACGTGAAGTTCACATGATGATATTTAAACGTCGCGCACGATCTCGAAAAGATAACTTTTCCGACACGGGTGTTTTCGAATTTGTTGCGTCTAATCTAGATGCGGATTGAAAGCTCGACTAAGCAAATAAATCACATACGGTATCTGACACATGTCGCCATAATGTGATTATATGCGATGATTATGACGTATGTATGACGTAAGGCGATGCAACACGAGACGAAATAATACGAGTGCAACGCAAAACTTGACGCGCCTCTCTTCGTAGCAATTTCCACTTTTTTGCTGATTATCGATTTACGTTGCGTTAACCGTAGGTATTACAATAAATTTCTCTTAATAATCAACGACGTGATAATCGAAAGCCGGATGTTCTACTGACGCAAATCGATGCGATTGGTCGCGCCGATTTGTGTATTTCACTTTAGAAATATTTTCCTCGGTTCCGAAAGGTCGTGTGCTAATTATTTTTAACGATAAACGATATCTTTTCTCGCGACTAACATATAAAATTAATATTCGCGCTAGAAGTTGATAAAGCGCTAATCAATATTAATTAAAATACTAATTGCACAGATTCTATATCTTCATTACTACACGTATGTTAAATTCAAAAGTATAAAGAGAGTTAGGCTATCTAATATTACCGTTTCAGCGCGCAAAACGTTAGTTGCGCTCTTTACTGCGTTACTTCTGAGCGCGAGGAAGAGTATCCTCCTCCGTGCGCTCCGCTGGGAACTTCTCAGTAGCCCTCCTCTCGCCCTCTCTTAGCCCTTCACCTTTTTCCTCCTTCTGCCACATGCCGCTCACGGACACGTGCTCGTGTTTATGTGCCTTCTTCTGCCGTGCGTACTTCTCCCGCTCGTCATCTCTCTCTCCCTCTCCCGCTCTGCATTACGCGCCGTTCCGCGATATGCTCATTTGTGTAAACGCGCGCGCGCGCCCGCGTGCGTCTCTGTGTAAAATAAAAAAAAAAAAAAAAAAAACAGCGGTAGCTTGCGCAAAAGCGCGAGCGAGCGAGCCAGCGAACAAGCGAGCCTACGGGTTGGCGCGCAATACACGTGCAACGGACGAGAGCGGGTCGGGAAACGAGAGGAGGCAAAAAGGAGAGGGGCCGGAGCGAGCAGCTCGGTCGCTTGCATTTACGAGAAGTGTATCGCGGGGGAAACACCTGCGGCACTGCGAGGCTGATTTAAATGAATGTCGGGGATACCGATGCACCGTGATATACGTGGATTTATGATTCCGCCTGACGACGATCTCGCGCCGCGAGACGCGAGTGCCGCCGTGGACGGAGAACGTTTTTAGATACGAATTTCGTTGGGACTTAATCAATAAATCATTATCAAAGTAATTAGATTAAAATTATTAAATAAACAATACATAGTAAGTAGGAATTAATTAATTTCTGTTTAATCAATTTTTATTCATTAAAATTTAATTTAATTTCACCAATAGCGTGCCATTTAAAATTAACTGTTAGACAAAATAATGCTCTCTCGCTGAAGTAATAGATGTCAGGTCGAGGGAGATATTTTGCGTAACTGTGTATTTTTTGTATGGATTTGCGCACTCGTCGGAGCGTCTTTCCCGCAGCTTCAACGCAGAATATTGCTACGATCTTCGGTATATTTTTACTGCAATTGTATATTTTGTTAAGCGTGCCGCACGCTCTAGGTCAGACTTTGTCGAGAAAGTTACGATTCTCGTGGATGTTATTCTAGGAAAGACAGTTACGACGCTCCGCGGCAGTAGCGACCGCGAGATTATTCGCGCGACTTGTAATTCTTAATCTAACACACATGACAGTTTTTGAAGGATGAGAGGAAAAAAATGTACTGCGAGAAATCACGAAAATCAAGAATGTGCGAGTATCCATCCATTGCGCGGCGAGAAAAAAATGAATGAGGAGAGAAAAGAAAAGAGGAAAAAAAACCAAACTACTTACTTCTTACACACACACACTCTTTCTGCAGTCTCATAATGTAACTTGATAAATAACACGCTGCAAATCATTGAGTCACAAGTGATAAATGATATCGTGTATTATTCTCTGAACACGCTTACAGAAAATTGATAAAACTTTCGATAAAAGAAATACAATCTACAATTTGCATATCAAATAATTTTTTTAATTATGAATAAATATTGTTTGCTTGAAAAAAGTATATTTAGCATAGAAAATACCGCAAGTTATAAATATAAAGACTGAATTTTGATAAAAGTTTAAGTATCGGCAGAAAAACGTGCCGTAAAAATTAAAATATATGTTTCTCAGCAAATATTTTAGGTTTTTTTTTAATTGATTGTGAACGCGCGGACAATGATTGCCTAATAAATAAGCAACAAATTCTAAAATGTGGCTGATTTAAAGTAAATATATTTTTTTTCATCAAAAGAAGTTTTTAATGTCTCTCTTGTATTGAATAACAATTAAACTTTTAGTTTCTATCGTGCATCACGATTAGATCTTCTTTTCGATAAATTTGAAGAGATATATTTAATATCACACATTTTAATTATTTTATATTGTTCTTTCTTTTCTCTCTCTCATTAATCATAGCTATACAAAGCAACTTTGTGTTTTATTGGTCCCCAATTCTTCTACCTTGAACCATTTCAATCGTATATATAGAGAGGGTGTACAACAAGAAAGGGAACAGAGGAAAAATAGAGTCGCCGGAGGAGTTAGAGCGCACGATTACATTGCGCAGCTTTTTCATCGCGTCCGAGCAAGGATGAGCTCGCAAAGTTACGGGATTGAAAATAGAGACTGACGCGTACATTATTCACGTCGTGACTTTCTAGCGTCGACCGTGTTACGTGCATCGGCAGTTCCCTTCACCTTTTTCCAGCCGCGGCCCTTCCAAACCCAACGATTGTCGTTGTATTTTATTATTTCGATGAAAGTGATCATTATTCAGAAGTTAGTCGGTAACAAACAATTTTTTTATTGAGTTGGATGTTATCGAAATATACATAGTATTATATATGTTTGTCTAAATTTGATTGTAAATTATTTTCAAATTCTAATTTGTAGTTTTATTATTACCGATATTTAATATCGAATGTTAAAAAA